GAGTTTCTCTCCGTTTACGTTGATGTTGGCTTTTGGCTTGCTGCAAATTGCCTTTATTATGTTTTGGTATGTTCTTCATATTCCTGATCTCTCCAAACGTTTATCATGAAGGGGTGTTGGATTTGGTCAGAGGCCTTTTCAGCATCTAGTGAGATGATCATGTGTTTTTTTTTCTTTCATTTTTTTTATGTGGTGTATTACATTGACAGACTTTCATATGTTGAACCACACTTGCATCTCTGGGATGTAGCCTACTTGATCATGGTGGATAATTGTTTTGATGTGTTAGAAAGTTTCGCAGTGTTCCTTCTCTTTCTATTGTGTGGAGCAATTTGAGGACTATTGATCTTAGCTCTGCTTTGAAATTCTGGTAGAATTCTGCACTGAAACCAGCTGGTCCTGAGTTTTTTTTATTTGTTTGGGAGACTTTTCATGACTGTTTCTATTTCCTTAGGGGTTATTGGTATAATTTAATAGTTTTTCTGGTCTTGATTTAACTTAGGTATGTGGTACCTATCCAGAAAATTATTCATTTCTTTTAGATTTTCCAGTTTTGTGGAGTACAGGATTTTGAAGTATGACCTGATAATTTTCTGGATTTCCTCGTTGTTAGTTGTTATGTCTCCCTTTTCATTTCTGATTTTACAAATTTGGATGCTCTCTCTGTCTTTTGGTTAGTTTGGATAAGGACTTGTCTATATTGTTGATTTTCTCAAAGAACCAAGTCTTTGTTTCATTGATTCTTTGTATTGTTCTCTTTGTTTCTATTTTATTGATTTCAGTTCTCACTTTGATAATTTCCTGGTGTCTGTTCTCCCTAGGAGACTTTGCTTCTTCTTGTTCTAGAGCTTTCAGGTGTGCTGTTAAGTCACAAGTGTGAAATTTCTCCAACTTCTTCATGTGGGCATTTAGTGCTATGAATTTTCCTCTTAGCACTGCTTTCACAGTATCCCATAAGTTTGGGTATGTGGTATATTCATTTTCATTGATCTCGAGGAAGTCTTTAATTTCTTTCTTTATTTCTTCTTTAACCCATTGGTGATTCAGTTGAGCATTATTCAGTTTCTATGAGATTGTAGGCTTTCTGTAGTTTTTGTTGTTGTTGAAATCTAACTTTAAACCATGGTGGTCTGATAGAACACAGGAGGTTATTCCAATTTTTTAAAATCTGTTGACATTTGTTTTGTGGCCGAGTATGTGGTCAATTTTAGAGAAGGTTCCATGGGGTGCTGAGAAGAAGGTATAGTCTTTTTAATTAGGATGGAATATTCTGTAGATATCAATTAAGTCCATTTGAGTTATAACATAAGTTAAGTCCCTTATTTCTCTGTTAAGTTTTGATTTGGCAGATCTATCCTGTGGTGAGAGTGGGGTGTTGAAATCTCCTACTATTAATGTGTGGGGTTTTATGTGTGATTTAAACTTTAGTAATGTTTCTTTTTTTTTTTTTTAAAGATTTATTTATTTATTGTGTACACAGAAGAGGGCACCAGATCTCATTACAGATGTTGTGAGCCACCATGTGGGTGCTGGGAATTGAAC